TATATCACTTTCTCATGCAAGTGGGATCTGCATGTTTGGGGGATGGCTCTTCCATGTGACACGGTAGAATTGAAGTGAATGGTTTATTACATTTCTACTTGTGAAAGTTTTAACTTTTACTTAGTTTGCCTAAAATCTTGATGCCCAGTACTATGCGTTATTACTATTAAGTGCAGGGCCAAATACTTAGTGAAGAAACAGCATTACATGGTGATAAAAGTACAAACTTAGTAGTCACACAGACATGGGTTGAATTCCAGGCTCCACCTAGATGAGCTATGTGACTTTACACCAATTATTTAATTTCTTTAGGCCTCCTACAGTGGTTGTGGCAGTTTGATGAAATGAAATAAATGAAATAAACTAGCACACTGTCTGACATATAGCAGGCCCTCAAAGTATTGTTTAGAATAGCTACTCAGGAATTTTGTTGAATTATACTGAATATATCAAAGAACAGGCCTCCTGGAGGTTGGGGAACAGTTAAGCCAAACCCTGTACACTGTGAGACTTCTGTTATATTTGTGTGTGCAGAACTTTGCCGCTAGCGGAGAGCTGGCAGTGCTGGGTAGAGACTTTCCCTTCATTGGTGGGCATGGTGAATGCCAGTTGTCAGGGCCTTTTGATACACTCATCTGTCTAATGTCATCCTTCCACAGAGCCACTGTGAGCCCACTCGGCAGCTTGCTGGCTTGGCTAGGTAGTAGTGACAGCAGGTGTCTAGTCTGTCAGAGGGCCAGGGCACCCCTCAGGGAATGGGGCAAAAAGAAAAAGTAAATGTACACCTTTTTTTAAAAAAAAGATGACCGGTAAGGGGATCCTAACCCTTGACTTGGTGGTGTCAGCACCACGCTCTCCCAAGGTGAGCTAACCGGCCATCTCTCTATAGGGATCCGAACCCATGGCCTTGGTGTTATCAGCACCACACTCTCCCAAGTGAACCACGGGCCGGCCCTAGGAAATGTACTCCTAATAGGAGCCTAACCTTGGACCCCCCTGCTTTCATGCCCCCTCACCCAGCCAGGCCTTTTTTAGGAGTTGAGAGGGTATTACCCAAGATCATGGAGTCTATGTCCAGCAAAACCTTTTGCTTCTTCTTTGTTGCTGAATCTTCTTGGTATTTATTTTAGATTCTTAGTGTTAATTTAGCCCACTCGGCAGCTTGCTGGCTTGGCTAGGTAGTAGTGACAGCAGGTGTCTAGTCTGTCAGAGGGCCAGGGCACCCCTCAGGGAATGGGGCAAAAGGAAAAAGGAAATGTACACCTTTTTTTAAAAAAAGATGACCGGTAAGGGGATCCTAACCCTTGACTTGGTGGTGTTAGCACCACGCTCTCCCAAGGTGAGCTAACCGGTCATCTCTCTATAGGGATCCGAACCCATGGCCTTGGTGTTATCAGCACCACACTCTCCCAAGTGAACCACGGGCCGGCCCTAGGAAATGTACTCCTAATAGGAGCCTAACCTTGGACCCCCCTGCCTTCATGCCCCCTCACCCAGCCAGGCCTTTTTTAGGAGTTGAGAGGGTATTACCCAAGATCATGGAGTCTGTGTCCAGCAAAACCTTTTTCTTTTTCTTTGTTGCCGAATCTTCTTGGTATTTATTTTAGATTCTTAGTGTTAATTCTCTTGCCCTGTTCAAAGGGTGGTGATGATAAATACATTTGTTGAAGAACTTAAGGGTACGTTTGTTTCTTTCATTTTGAATGACATCAACTAAATGTCTCCTTACAAAGATGAAACTTCTTTAGTTTTTTTTTCCTGAAGGGTGTAGCAGCTATGAAGCAAGTGTGATGAATTTCTAATAGAACTTGGTGCTTTTTAATACTTGTAAATGTCTCTTGCACACATGTTCCCTGCTTACAGGTCAGTATCTTTCTTTTTTTCAAGGGATATGGCTTGCAGTGTGGCAGGCATAACTTCTGATGCTAATGTCCTGACTAATGAACTGAGGCTCATTGCTCAAAGGTATGGTCATAAATAGCATAACTGATAACGTAGAAATTAGATGTTTCTAAGGAGAGCTCACTTTTGCTAAGATGAAAGTCATTAAAAATCTATTAATTGAAAATTACTGTGTTTTTTTTTAACCAAACATAAAATGTTATTTACTATAAGGATATTAGGATGTTGACATGTTCACTCCCTGCCTTCCTCTTCAAATTACAACTGACTGTTATGTTGTCCCCATAGCGTAGATTTCTTTTCAAAGGGTATTTTCCTTATAATATCTCTCTTTAGAGAAAACTATTTATATGCCAATCTCTGTCCTAGGTATTTATTACAGTATCAGGAGCCAATTCCCTGTGAGCAGTTGGTTACGGCACTGTGTGATATCAAACAAGCTTATACACAGTTTGGAGGTACTGCATTTTTTTTGGAAATTTCATTCCAAAAAGTGAAAATGTTTTATGAATAATAACCCTTTTGAGACGAAAAAGAAATTGAAAATTAAATAAGTAAACACTTTTCATACATTCCTGCTTCATGAACAAACCTGCTTTCACTATGTAGATTATCATAAGTTTTTATTAATAGAATATTGAAAGGCCAAAATAACATTTCCACATCTGGAAACAAATTGCTTTTTACATAATAATGATATTCAGCCCTGGTCTTCTGTGTCTTTATTCCCTCTCTTGGCTGTGTCCAAATCCTAGAAACAAAAGTGGAATTTGTGATGGAGTTTATCTGTGGTAGCCAGACACAAAGCAGTTTATAAATGCTTAACTTCACAGAAAAGGGTTTAGCCACATCACTGAGCTCAAGTAACTATAGTGATACTAAATTTTGATTGTTGATATGTTTTTGTTGTTGTTGTTGTTTTTTTTGTTAAAGGAAAACGTCCCTTTGGTGTTTCATTGCTGTACATTGGCTGGGATAAGCACTA